ATATATATATATATATTATTTATATATATATATTTTATTTTATAGAAATTCCTTCCAAACAGGACATGTTAGATCTCATGCCAACTCATAACTTTTTGATTTAGTGGCTAATTATTATGAAACTGTACGATCTCATTCATACATTTTAGTACATTCTGCTCATTTTCCAATGACAGCTGGGTTTAGGGGTGATGTTTGGTCCCACGCCTCCTTTGAAAAATCGTACATTTTCATACAAATTGGCAACTAAACTGGCATTGTAAAAAAAAAGTTCTGTTTCCTCATGAGAAGAAACATGATTCAAAGCGGCATTTCACTTTTATTACACTCTGATGCTTGAAAATACCTTTTTATCTTGACTAACAAATACCAAATGTCATCTACTGCTTAGAAACACTGGATGAGCGGCTTTATTTACCCATTTGTTGTATTTGAGGGGTCCGGTGAAGCCCATGGCCTCAATCATTTTGGTGAAGGCTCCCACCTCTTCATCTGTGGTCTGCGGGGTCTCTTTAACAGTACACAGCTTCAAAACAGAACACAGAAATTCATTTAAAGCCATAATATAAAACAATGGCAAACTAATAGGCATCTTGCAAAGTAAACGCATGGTAAAAAGACAAACTCAGGTCACTGTTGTTGAAACATAATACATAACAGAATGCATTTAGAAAAAACAAACTCAGGTTACAAGACCATCTAAAGTTGAAGGACCTATAGAGTTCTTGTTTTTAATATTGGCAAACAGCCACTATAGTGTCAAATCCATCAGTTATTGAAGTCTAAGATCAGCATTTCACAATAATTTCCCTGTAAATCTAAACTCTACCTGGGTACAGTTTATGGAGGTATCGCAATGTTCAGCTAGTTCCCTAAAGGCACTTCTATGAAGGCAATAAAACCTTTCCCGATGGATTTCCCACAAGATTTTTATGTTTTACTGCATTGAGTGGGATTTCTGGTAGACTAGAAGTTTAGTAGACTATAATCAGCACTTGCCCTTTGGGGTCGCACCGGGAGGAAATGATTATTGCCAACATATAACAAATGTCAAACCTCTGCACACTTTTGAGAATACATATTTCTTAAAATCTTTAAAACTGGTTCGAAATTGCAAAATCTGCAACTGAAATTAGTCGAAAAATATGCTGTCAATACATTTATTCACATTTAAAATTATATTAGTTTTGAGTGTCCAGAGTTTCATTCATTCATTTCTTTTTGGCTATGTCCCTTTATTGAAATCAATGAACCACCAACTTATCCATATGTTTTATGCAGTGGCTGCCCTTCCGGCTGCAACCCATCACTGGGAAACACCCACACACTCCCATTCACACACATACACTACAGACACTTTAGCTTACCCAATTCACCTATAGCTCATGTCTTTGAACTTGTGGGGGAAATCAGAGCACCCGGAGGAAACCCACATGAACATAGGAAGAACGTGCAAATTCCACACAGGAATGCCAACTGACCTAGGCGAGGCTCGAACCAGCGACCTTCTTGCTGTGCGGCGACATACTGCGTCACTGTGCCACCTGTGTCCAGGGGCCTCATGTATCAACGCTGCGTACGCACAAAAACTTTGCGTACGCCAGGTTTCATGCTCAGAATCGCTCACGTTTGGATTTACTAACGATGAACTGAACGTGGGAATGTGCGCAGCTCCACGCCAGCTTTATGGCTGGCGTACGCACATTTTTTGTGCGTGTTTGTTTTATTTCCATTGGCGACTCCTAGAGGCAGTTGTGTTAAATTGCACTACAAAGTGCCTTTGAGCCTTGAAATGGCAGCTGTACGAGACGGGTTCATCTAGTAGGTATGTAAGGTTTCCATACCATACAGTTGACCAGCTAAACATTAAAGCGCAATTTGCAGCGGTCGCCTGTTTTCCCAATGTAATCTGAGCTATCTACTGCACGCACATTGCTATAAAGACACTATCTGAAGATGAATTTGCATGCGTGAATCAGACACATTTCCATTCAATAAATGTGCAAATAAAATATGATGCACAGACTTATTAATGATTCCTACTTGTCTTTCTCGTAATAAATAGTAAAATCTGATATTTTGTGGGGGTAGGGGGTGGAAAGAAGAATGAGTTCATCAGACGCTGTATTCGAACCGAGTTCATGCTCGAACGCGTCAAAACATGTTGACATGCGTTTTACGAGCTGCGCCACTGAGACTGTTAAGGGTACTGCAACATTTTACAGATATAAATCACACTATTTCTTTTGTTAATGCACTCAGTGTGATGTTCAGACCCAACTGTGTTAACCGCATCAGCTAAACTCTCCCACTCTATTTTTTTCTTTTGTTGTTAATTCCGGAGGACAAACTTGCAAATAACACCGCTTTTCTCCGGTCAACCTCCGAAAGCAGCACCTCCAATTCACATTCTGTTCAAAGTTTCTCTTTTTGCTTGCTTTTGCCATTGCTTTTTCGTTGGGTTTTCCAAAGTAGAGTCATTAGCATATTCATACGGGGGAGGAGGCAGGGAGGGGTTTTGTGCTCGTGCATGTTGCGCTCAGTTTCACGATCATTCGGATGTACAAAAGAATATGCGTGAGATTCGGCGTACGCAGTGTTTCAAACATTTTAATTTTTTTATGCGCACGCACATTTCAGCTCTGTGCGTACGCAATGTTCTAGTATGATTTCCACGCAAGTCTTCATACATGAGGCCCCTGATGTTTTGGCAATATAATTCCCATGCCATTTGTGCGATTTGGATAGTTTAATTAACCACTCAATTTAATTAATTAGTCACTCAAAAATGTAGATAAAAAAGTAAACAAACTTTCGCTATGATTGTGTTCACACTTGGTAGGTTTGGTTTGACTGAATTGAACTCTTGTGTGATTGCTCTATTAGTGCAATCACACTAATAGAACAATTTTTAAAAATTATATTTTGGAGGTATTGTTTCACCCTAAAATTTGGGCACTGGTAAGGGCACTAACGAGCCTTGTTCACAACACATTGGGACACACTGGGTGTGACATGGGAACATCCTCATTTTACAACATAAAAACTGGAGTTTATAAACAGTGGAACTAATCATTTTCATATATTAATTTTAACACGTTTTAACAAATGCTTTGAAGCTAAATAAATTGATTATTTCATATAATAAATGGCACCAAAATGTATTGAAGGGTAAGTGAATTATAATAGCGAATACTTTTCTGTAACCGTAGTAGTGCTGTGCGTCATTTGTTTACCCTTTAAGGTGATGTACTGACTGACTGACAAGCTGACAGGTGCGTGATGCTTGAGGCCAGCAAACACGACGTATAGCCCTTTCACTTTACTTCAGGACACATTAATGCTACTCTGTAGGTCTATTAGGGACATTAATAAATATTCCTAGCAAATCCAATAAATGCTGGAGCTATACTGGTTACATAAACGCACTAAATCGCACATGAAGATCTGCGCGCTCTTGAAGCGGTTTATATTTGAGGGGGTGTGCAAGAAGTTTTGTGCACGAGCAGAGGAAATTGGCGCGCAAGCAAAGAGATTCGCATGTCGTTGGCTATTACATAAATGCGATCCCGACTTCTAATACTACGCTCACAACATTTGTCACTAATATAATAACGCCACAGGTAGTTGGTAGATCTGTTTAAAAAAAATAGAGTAAACACTGTTCATATTTCACATTTTCAAACTTCCGTTAAGAGGGCATACATAGGGTGTATCAATGTGTCCTGATTTTCACAGTGCATTGTGGGACTTTACAGAATTATAACGTTTCAATGGAAGAAGTTTGAAATTGAGACAGCTCTTAAAATGGCTGGCGACCTGATCAGTGCACTGGCTATTGAATAAGGCTGCTGATTGAGACACACCCATAGTGTAATTTCCAATGTTTAAAGGCAAATTCTTACAAATTACAATCTGAATTGCTTGCTTTGTACAAAATATTGAGAATTGCCAAGCTCTTAAGAATGAATAAGTCTAACAAATTATTGTTTGCTGGTGCGATTGGTCTATTAGTGCCATTAAATACTTAACACACCAAACAAGCAGATGAGAAACACGTAACAAATTCTGCTGTGATTCAAATGAAATAAGAAATTAATAATGACATCAGAATGAACCAAAAAAGCACAGAATGCATAAGCATACTAATTATTTTGTCATTAAAGTGGCAATGTTGCCCTGTGCAGTTCAGTACAAGCCAAGCAAGTGCATCTCCTGGCAGCAGATCTTTATTTGTGCACATAACAAGATTTCCCAGAGCTTCCTTCACACAATTAGTGCTGTATAAGTTGTCAGATTATAAAAAGCATGACATATACATATCCGCTTGTTAAGTGGTAACGTGTTGGTGATGAATGTAATACTGTTTCCGGGTCCAAGCTGCCACTAATTTGAGCACTTTTAATTCATATCACACATTAAAGTTAATTTCATATAAAGTCATAATGTACACAACAATCTCTGGGCTAGCTGCATAACAAATACCCAAATTTTAACAATTTATAAAAAAATGAATAACTTTCTGGACATTGTATATTAGGCATGGACATATATGTTGCGATCGTGATTTTCGAAAGTAATAAATCGCTTTGTAAAAGTTTATAATTACCATTTCATGAGTCTTCCCATACAGTTGAATAGAGCGCTTGTGCCCGGAAGCCGCTTCGCGTGACCTCACACTTGACAAGCGGATAACTCATTCCAGGAATGCAGATACATTCCAACCATTTTACATTTATTTGTCTTAAACTGGAACGATATATAACAAATGTGTAATTTACAGTAACGTGGATCTTTTAATAATGCAACCTAAAGTAGACAATACTGACGCAAATCTTTTTATCAAGCAGACTCATAACAACTTTATTTGAGAAGTTAGGATGTTGTGTAAATGAATGATAAAAAAAGATAAACAAAGCAGATTTATTTTTACAACCTTTTTTGCTCATGATTTTCATATTTGAAACTTCAGGCATATCTTCAAACTAAAATAAGCCCTGTTTTCAGAAACTGTTCCGATTTGTGCAGACATTTCCAACCAAACTCTGACTGAAGGCCCATTTTATTATGATATTGTTCTCTCAGATGTAACTCTCATTACATTCTCATTACTGTAATAAAATGAAGACCTTATTTTATGATTGTAACTAGGTATGCACTGAGGGTGAATTAGTTATAAATTGAAATAAAAAAAGCAGTCCATACCTCTCCTGTGCTGTGAAGAGCTCTGCATTGTGAATGAAAGGGGACTCCAGCATCCGCTGCTACACGGCAAGCCACCAAAGCCCTGGACTGACACACGACTTGTTCAATGGCCTGAAAAACAAACATATTCAACTTGACAAGTGCTTTGGCATTTTTTAAAATTAATTTGAGAGTTTTGATACCTGACTACTCTAAATTGTCTAAACGCAAGACTAGGCATGGGACTATAACTAGTTTCAAGGCTTACAGAAGTTTGGAAAAGTCACGGTTTTAAAACCACAAAAATATTCTGTTAATATGTTCCTGCTGTATACGCAGTAATATCGTGATATTTTAATCTAAGGTTGTCATACCATCAGAATCTTATACCGGTCTATGCCTAGGTAAGACACTGCAGGAAAAAAAATACACACAAAAACTTACTTCCCCATATAATTGATGAAATTATAAGAATTGTACACAATTTGTAAGAGATTTCTGAAATATTGACATACATGTTTGGATATGCAAAAAATAAATATGTGCTAATTTGCATACAATTAAGTTACTTAACACATTTTGTGATTTGTGAGCTTTATAAAGTACACACAGGTTTGAATATGCTAATGAGAGTAAATGTGTGCTGATTTGCATACAATTAAAGGAAAAAGTCTGGACATTGTTTCAAATCTGAAACAAGGCTGAACATTCCAGTTTTGTTTTATTAGAGTTAAACGTTTCTTTCATTATATAACAGTTTCATTCATCCATGATTTAGATAATAGTGCAAACAACCAGAAATAAAAAATCAATGTTAAATGCTCAATATAATTTGTTAATTGATTACATTATACTAATTAAAAACATTTTGGTATTTATGAGATTTCTAATATATTAATATACACATTTGAATATGGAAATGAGATTAAATTTGTACTAATGTGCATACAATTTAAGGGCAAATACAGAATATTATCCTTTATATAATTCGTTCATTGATTAAATTACACAAATTGAACACATTTTGGGATTTGTGAGATTGTTAAAATATTGACCAACACGTTTAAATATGCAAATAAGATTAAATATGTGCTAATTTGCATACAAATAAAGCACAAAATCGGAACATTGTTTTAAATTAGGTTAAAAATTCCTGTCTTGTTTTATTAGAGTCAAATGTTTCTTTCAATATATTACGGTTTCATTTATCTATTCGCATAATAGTGCAAACAACCACAAATAAAAAATTCACAATGTTAAATGTTCCATAGAATTTGTTAATTGATTACATTATACGAATTGAACAGATTTAGGTATTTGTGAGATTTCTAAAATATTGACCTACATGTTCAAATTTGCAAATGAAATTAAATTAGTGCTAATTTGCATACAATTAAAGTACAAATTCAGAACATTGTTTCAAATCAGGTTGAAAATTCCTGTTTTGTTTTATTGGAGGAAAAAGTTTCTTTCATTATATGGAGTTAACTTGTTAACAATGGTTCGGCAGTGGAACCACGCCTCACTTTGTCTCCTTAACCAATCACCTACTCCCTGAAACTTATTAAAGGCTGACCAGCCCTCTAGCACTGTTCTTCTCGTTCTTTCAAACTCACTCTCCCTCCCTATATTTCCTCGCTTCCCATTCACAATCCTATAACCCTCTCTTCAGGCCAAGGTTGAATTGGGGGGGTCCAATCACTCTACCAAAACGCAACAGAAACGTTACCCCCACTCTAGGGCATCATCGTAGGACGCCTGATCAACCTACCTACCTGTTCACTGTTTATCCTCCTACTTCCTTATCTCACTGTTCTTTTACCATCCCCTTCACCCCTACAATAAAGTCTAGCTCAATGTGTGGCGTGGTCCAAGCTGGTGAAATTACAGTTTCATTGAATTCTTGATTCGTTATATTAGAGTCAAAGGTTTGTTGTTTTTGAGAATCTTTTTTATCACTCCATAATTCAGAAAATAATGCAAACAACAAGAAAATAAAAATGTAAAAAATAAACAATGTTCTGTAGGGTAAAATATTCCATATAATGTGATAATTGCTTACATTACACAAATTGAACCCATTTTGGGATGTGTGAGATTTCTAAAACATTGACCTACACGTCTAAATATGGAAATAAGATGTGCTAATTTGCATAAAATAAACCACAAAATCCGTTCACTGTTTTAAATTAAGCTGGAAATTCCTGTTTTATTTTATTTGATTCAAATGTTTCACTAATTATATTAGTTCCATTGAATTCTTGTTTCATTATATTCGAGTCACAGGTTTTGTGATTTCGAGAATCTTTTGTAATCACTCCATTATTCAGAAAATAGTGCAGACAAGCAGAAGAAAATACACTTTCTCAATGTTCTGTATAATAAAATGTTCCTCATACAGGGCAATACAGGTCGGTACAGTAGCTCATAATTGTGCTGCAAAATATAGAACAGAATAACCCAAAACAACATTAAAATTACATTTTTAGCACGTATATAAGGATAAGGCTTTAAAATGGCTCCAATATCAAACCCTTCAGTGATGTTATTATCTTTTTAAGTACACATAATAATTACCTTTCCGAGGACAGCTCTCGATGCTGAGGCGTTTATTAACTGTCTAACGGCGGACTGCAGCGGTCGCCGATACATGATTCCGCTAAAGTCACAATAATAAAGTATTATTGTAACTATAAAGCAGGAATCAGTAACTGATACTTTCCTACACGTTTTGTAACAGTTTGTTTTCGTCCCTCCCCTTTTACAGCAATGTCAAAGCATCTGTCCCGCTCTTAAACCGCTCCGTGTGGAAATCAGAGCAGAGCAATGCAGAGCTGTGCTACATGGTTCCACACGAGAGAGTTTGTGGCAAATATTGGCAAAAAAACCGCTTGATAAAGTATACGTTAGCTTTACCATCACTGCTCTTTGTGTTATCGTTGGCAAACACAATTAAGTGATCTACTACTCTTAATTTTAGTGTCTAAAATACATAGGAGCAGAGTGTGACTGCCGTCAACAATGTAGCACACTTGCATTAATTGGGTTAAAGTTGGTTTTTATATCAGCCCATTCGGACTTTTACCTTCTTAATATAATTTCAGACAGGTATTTCTTGGTAATTCTAAATGGGGAAATCATATAGCAGCCAATGACTATCAAAGTACAACATTCACAGTCTATTAAATAGTGCTAATGTTGTTTTCAAGTCATATTTACATGATTACAGACCAAATATTTAGTATATCGTGGTAAACAATATAGGGAATATGTCACAAGTTATCACGTTGTGCTCATAACAGTACGTCATTGTAATAATTCTGTATTAACCTTTTTAACTTCCACATAAATAGTTTATTGAACCTCAAAGTTGTGAATATAAAACCAACTTTACCTCAATCTTGCATTAATCTCTATAGGCTATAGTTATTATAATGGTGATTCTCCACTCCTTATATTGTTATTAATATTATAAAGTTATTTTATAAAGCAATTTATTATTCACTTGGAATGGAAATACATTTATTTAAATGTTCATATTATATTATATACATTAAAATGACAAAAAAGTCATGTTTTATACAGCAAAACATTAATATGTATAATTTACTCAATTATATTGACCAGTTGTACTATTTTTTGTAGGTTTTAAGTTCTCTATTTTCTTGTTTCATTATAATTTTAGTTTAGTGATTGTTGTTGTGTCTCTTTTGTGAAAATGTTTTATAAATGTATACAGTTGAAGTTAGAATTATTAGCCCCCCTGAATTATTAGCCCCCCTGTTTATTTTCTTCCCCAATTTCTGTTTAACAGAGAGAAGATTTATTCAACACATTTCTAAGCATAATAGTTTTAAAAGCTCATTTCTTATAACTGATTTATTTTGTCTTTGCCATGATGACAGTAAATGTTATTTTACTAGATATTTGTCAAGACACTTCTATACAGCTTAAAGTGACATTTAAAGGCTTAACTAGGTTAATTAGGTTAACTAGGCAGGTTAGGGTAATTAGGCAAGTTATTGTATAATGATGGTTTGTTCTGTAGACTATTAAAAAATAGCTTAAAGGGGCTAATAATATTGTCCTTAAAATGGTGTTTAAAAATGTATAACTGCTTTTATTCTAGCCGAAATAAAACAAACAAGACTTTCTCCAGAAGAAAAAATATTATCAGACATACTGTGAAAATATCCTTGCCCTGGTAAACATAATTTGGGAAATATTCTGACTTCAACTGTACATAAAAGCAATGGAAAATAAGTTACAGACCACTAGGCATGAAAACCACTAAGGGTGTGTGTATAGACAATCAAGATATTTGTCTATAAACTACCTGATAAAAGTTTTGTCATCAATCCCAGTTGTAAGAGCAACAAATAATAACTTGACTTCTAGTTGATTATTTGGAAAAGTGTCAGAAGGTAGATTTTTCTGATGAATCATCTGTTAAACTGCATCCCAATCATCACAAATACTGCAGTTTCTCTTTGTTTGGGGTGACATTCATTATGGGGGTGTGTGAGAGATCTGCAGAGTGGATGGCAGCATCAACCGCCTGAGGAATCAAGACATTTGTGCTGCCCATTACATTACAAACCACAGCAGAGGGCAAATTCTTCAGCAGGATAGCGCTCCTTCTCATACTTCAGCCTCCACATCAAAGTTCCTAAAAAGCAAAGAAGGTCAAGGTGCTCCAGGATTGGCCAGCCGAGTCACCAAACATAAACATTATTGAGCATGTCTGGGGTAAGATGAAGGAGGAGTATACTGTACATTATTTCTGTGAAGTGGCAAGACTTATGTCTAAGCAAAGTCAGACCTCACTGTCCTAATAAATATTTTAAAATCTAGGCATGATTATATTTTATTTTGGTTAAATAAGCGTATTGTAGAGGCCTTTGCCTTTCATATAAGCCACTCCTGATACCAAATGATCAACTAAAAGTCAAGTTATTATTTGTTGTTCCTAAAACTTGTATAGACGACAGGACTTTGTCGGGTATATATAAGAGCGGGGAGCACTTTCATTCATTTTGAGGGGCATTTTTTTTCCTCAAGACAAAATGCCTGAGCGTAAATGTGTTAGCTAAATGAAAATGAGAACAATTCTTTACTTTGTTTTCTTTGTTTGTTTTTTAAAATACTGAAATACAGTAGCTAACTTTCCCCGCATGCTACATTAACTCTAATCAAGATTATTTTAAGAATGAAGACAGCATCATTTGGTTAAATACTTTTTTGGGGATATTGTTAAATTGTGAGTCCTCAACATTTTACAGCAGAGCTTCAGTCTGTATTGCATTTCAGAGGGATGTGTTGCATTTTGGCAGCGACAGGTGCGCAGCTCGATGATGTCAGACAGTGGCATTTCTGCTGGCAGAGCAGAGAAACAGAGAAATCACATCAGTCCAGATGACGAACGACTGCCTCCAGTCTGTTCCAAAGATTAATGTCCAATAAGTACCTGGCATCACAGCTCCCGAGCCACAAAGTAAGCAAAAACTAAGCACTGCCACGTCCACAAATTGTTTAAAGTCATCCAGGCATCGAGGAAACTTCCTGCCCGAGTGCATCCAAAAATCACAGAAATATGTAATGCCCTTTTATGCATGAACGATTAAGAAAAATCACCCCCCCCCCCCCTCCGACCCTCTTCTCACGTAAAAGTACCAAAAACACTTTGAAGTCGGGATGTTTTCACAGCAGGGAGTGCATGAGGTAATGTTGGAGTTGTCTTTGCGTCGCTTTTTTGTTTCTTCCTCATAGCTGTGGAGGTTGAACTGAAAATGTCACAAGTCACTCTTTTTTTTTGTGCTCAGGAAGGAGAATGTCACCGTTATTAGTGGTGAAATATTTGTCTAGCTTTCACTGCTGCACCTTTATGCCTTCAGGAAACAGCAGAGGAGGTGAAGGGGCCTCTTGAGGAACGGCCGAAATGTTGTTCATCCCTATGTCACCCATCCCTGAAAAAACAAGCAAAGCGCTGGGTCAAACCATGTGGGACTGCAACAGCTTTGGTTGTGTGTTCTGCACAGATTAAATGTCATTTTCTTAACAGCCTTTGAGCAGCATACAGTTCATTATGAAAGAATTACTGCTTCGCTCAAGGTCACCTCAGCAAAATTCTGGCAGCTTTTTTAGGTGACAGATAAATACAAATGTCAATTTTAGTTCGTTTCCTAATTTATTTCAGGTATCAACAGAGTTATGGTTCTTATTTGGGACTGTTTCTCTTCAGCTTGTTTCCTGTTCTCACTATTGATTATTTCTCACATTTTTCACAAAATTTAGTTTAATATGAACAAATTTGAACACTCCCCAGCATGCACACCATGACGTCAGATTGACATCGTACCTCAACGTTGTGAGATGTTGCGTTTTGCTTGGAAATAAAAATCTGTTTGACATAAGGTCCAACATCAGGCCGACGTCAATGTCCAACGTCTGACAGACATTGCATTTTATTTTGCATTATAATACAACATATTAACGTCTAATGATGTTACAGCTTGATGTTGTGTGGACGTTACCAATATGAAGTCTATCAGATGATGGATTTTAGTTGCCATTTCTGATGAATAAATGTCAGTATTTGATCTTAATTTGACGTTGGTTTAAGATGTTGGCTTGACGTTGGATTTTGGTCACTTTCTGACACAACCTAAAATCAACGTCACGTCTTTGTTTGACGTCAAAATAACATTGTCCTAGACACTGGCGATTTAAATCTGACCTAATATTAATGTCTTATGACATTGTGTGTCTGCTGGGTCATTTCTCGCATTGTAATTTTTTTTTTCTCAAAATGTGAACTTTTGGTAGTTTATTTTTCACATTTGCATCTTTAATCATTATAAAAAAGTCTTCTAGAAAAGCATTTTTTTTTATCTAGCAGTTTTTATAATCTGTGGTTTATTTCTTACATTTGCGTCTAACTGCAAAAACTTAAATTTTTACCCTACATTTTTTTGTTTATTTCTTAATTTATTAAAGGTAACAGCAGAGTCATGTTTCTAATTTGGGACTGTTTCTCTTCAACTTGTTTCCTGTATTCACTATTGATTATTTCTCACATTTTTCACTACATTTTGTTTAATATGAACAAGTGTGAAAACTCCCCAGCTGGCACAGGAGATCAACATGACGTCAGATTGACATCGTACCTCAACGTTGTGAGATGTTGCGTTTTGTTTGGAAATAAAAATCTGTTTGACGTCAGGTCCAACATCAGGCCGACGTCAATGTCTAACATCAGACAGACATTGCATTTTGGTTACTTTCCAATGCAACATAAGATCAACAACATATTAACGTTTAATGATGTTACAGCTTGATGTTGTGTGGACGTTACCAATATGAAGTCTATCAGATGCTGGATTTTAGTTGCCATATCTGATGAATAAATGTCAGTATTTGATGTCAATATGACGTTGGTTTAAGATGTTGGCTTGACGTTGGATTTTAGTCACTTTCTGACACAACCTAAAATCAACATCACGTCTTTGTTTGACGTCAAAATAACATTGTCCTAGACACTGGCGATTTAAATCTAACCTAATTTTAACGTCTTATGACGTTGTGTGTCTGCTGGCTCATGTCTCGCATTGTAATTTTTTTTTCTCAAAATGTGAACTTTTGGTAGTTTATTTTTCACATCTGCATCTTTAATCATTATAAAAGTGTCTTCTCGAAAAGCACTTTTTTATCTAGCAGTTTTCATAATCTGTGGCTT